TTTTTTTTTTTTTTTTTTGTTATTAAGGGAAAAGTTAAAACATACACAGATGTGAAGATGTTAATATAATAAACTCCCATGTCCCTATAACCTAGCTTCAAAAATTATCAAAACAAGGTCCATTTTATTTCCCCTATAACCCTACTACACTCTCCCTTTTAGATAATTTGGAAGCAAATCTCAGTGACTGCATCATTTCATCAGTGTTTTCAGTATGTATTTCCACAAAGGCAAGAATTCTTGAAATTTAAATTTGTGCTCCCCAAATCAATATTTAACAGAACCATCTTTGACTTTGAAACACACCTGACGTCTTGCTGTAAAAAATTTATTTTTGGTGGCAGTGTGAAAGTTTTGGGAATGCAATTTGCAATACATAGCAAAAGTAATAAAAATTTTAATTCCCATTAAGTATATAATTCTTCTGTAAATTTATCCTGAGGAAATAATCCAGATACTAGAAGAGGGGGAAGGAATCTGTTATTAAAATGCTCAGAATATTATGCTAGTGAAACAATTGTGGATTCATTAAATTTTAGTAAAGGTATTTTATGGGATATTTTATATAACCAATGAAATGATTACAAACCTAGAAATATGGTTGTTAAAGTAAATCAACATAAAATGAAAATTTTCTTTATATCATTATTGCAACTTTGCAAAAATACATATTTTAACAAACTTGGGAAAGGAATAACAGAAAAAGTAAGAAGATAGGTTTGTGGGTGTTTTTCCTCCTCTATTCTAAAGTGTTTACATATTAGTGCTTTTGACTTTATATTTTAAAATACTCTTTTAATCAAATCTTTTCTTTTTAATTTCATTTTCCTTTGGCTTAATTCCTTCACCTTTTTTCAACCAGCTCTGCAGCCTCTATTTTTAATTTCCTCATGTTATAACACTACCACCTATCAAACTCATACCACATGCCACTTTCTCTACGAAGCTTCCACTAATCACCTCAATATCAATTTCTCTCTTTAAACTTCTACAGTATTTGACAGTCAATGCACTATTGTTATTCACAAAATATCCTGAGCGTTTTTTATTGAATATGTGATAATCTATACATTTTCATTTTGTAAGGGGATTCCTTTCCTGAGAAACTAAAACAATTGCATAATATCACTAAATAAATGTTAACTTTTCTATATAATCATCAATACATTTCTACCATTTCTTATATGTTCTTTAATATTGAATGTTTACTTCTCAATTCAATAAAATTAATACGGATTCAATAAGAACCCATCTGAATGAAGCTAGTGTTTGTTTCCATTCCAAATGCTAATCGCTGGCATTCCAATTTGTTTACTTCTTTTTTAATGAAATAACAGCTTAAAATACATGTGATTTCCAAACTCTATTTTAGCAACAGAGCGCTCATCAAATACAATTTTACCCACCCACACCCCAAATACTGCAACAACAAAAAGCACAGCTGCTTCAGCATAGACTGGGGTGAAAGAAGCAGCCAGAGACCAAGAGCTCCCCCTGCTGCCTAATAATTCCCCATCAGGCTGCCCCAGGGCTCTTTAGAACCTATTTCAAAAGCCACTATAATAAAATACACGCATAAAAGCACAAACTCTGCTGGGCCCAAGCAGATGGTAACAGCCCAGAGTGAATTTTTCAATGACAGGGAGCACTATCACGTGAAAACAAATAATGTAAAAGTTTATGTTTACCATACAAAGATGCAAGTAATCAGAGATAGATTCAGTAGACCACTCAGCTTCCTGCTGGTACCAATCTTTAAAAGTCATTTTAAAAATGATATTAAAATGATTTTTAAAACATTGAATTTTAAAGTCCATATTTAAAAGGTCATCCATGAAAAGTTAATAAGATAGAGGAAAGTATATGGTCTAGAATTCCTTTTAGATCCAACACTATATTTTCTTGGTAAGACATCACTTAGCCATGCCTAAGAAATAACTAGGATCTTAAAGAAGGGTGACTCCAATTAATTGAAGGGCTTTTGTTCTGCTGAGTGAAGTAAGCAGTTTGAGAGTCAGAACTAAATTGTCATGGGAAATACTGGAAATGCTGTACATTACCAACTGTGGTTTTCCATGTGGCACATAACATCGCTTCTAAATGTCAAGCACATATCTAAAAGCAACAAACTGAAAGGTTGCAAATTATTAGTCTGCTCTGGATGACTGAATGTCGCCATATTGACCCAGTGTCTATATATACTAACGTGTGACTTGTTTAAAATTTGAATTTGCACAAGTCAAGCACCACCTCTCTCATATAATTTTGAATGACATATTACTTTCAAGTTGACATGTATTTTTACCATCTTAACTTCTCAACTAGATTAGAAATTCCATGAAAGCAAAGACCATGCATTTTTTATTTTTGCGTGCTCTACAGAGCCTAGCATACTACCTTATACATAGTAGGATGCTGCTCCATTAGATAAATTGTTGCTGAATTATTAAATTGCTTCCTTCACCAGGCTCTTCAAATTTCACCTGTCCAAGAAATAATTCATTAGTTTCACCTTCAAACCCCACCTCTCCACCTAATTCTCTAGCATTTATCTCACTGGTGGGATAGAAATAATCTTGAACTGTGTTCAGTACTGGAGCAGGTATGGTAGCAGGCTTGCTGAAGATATTTGCATAAGGAATCCTCCCAAAGCCCTTCCCCAAGAAGAAAAAAGTGAGGAAGGTAAGCTGGACTCAGAAAAATAAAAGTCCTTTTGTATTAGATGTGAAAAATAATTCTAGGCACTTCTTGATGTCTCTTACTGAAACTTGTTATTGGCACAAAATTATGAATTTGATGCCTATGTTATCTAGGTATAAAAGTGCATGTGCAAGGGTCTCCTTATATAGAGAAATATTCTGTAGTTGAAAAAGTAATGTCTTTGATTTCTGGTAAAATTGAATTTTTTTCATCAATTAGCTACTATATCTTCTTTTACTGTCTGTTCAGTTGTTTGCTCATTCAGCTTTTAGATTATTACTGTTTTCCTATTAATAACAACATTCTTTAGAAATATTTCTTCATTTTTCTTGTACTTTTCCCAGTTTGCTTTTAGTTCCTTTTACATGGTTATCTTTGTTAGTCAAGTTTTTGTACAACTTTTTTCAATGATTTTAAGCTTATAAAGTCCTCTTCTGCACAGACATTTAAAAATTATCCATTTTCTTCTATTAGTTGACTTTTTAATATATATTAGCTAATAACATTTTTAAATTATCTTTTAACCCCTAAAATGATCCCATTATGCCAATAT